CATAGTTCAGCATGCTAACAATTGCTAACTAGCAGTAAACGCAGAGCACAGCTGAAGCTGATGGGAATGTTAAACAGTGTGAAACAGTTTCGCCCTGGTGTCGCCGGATGGAATCTCAGAGGACCAGCAGAGCGGTTAGTGTTCATCCTGAGGGCAGCATGAACGTGCAGCAAACGTCACGCCAATCCATCCAAGTGACTGTCAAGACATTTCAATATAACCACAACCATGCTGGTGGTGGAGGGAAACTCGTTGGGATTCATCGTCATGGTAACCATGGATATCTGCGCTAAACCTCCCCTCCTTCCGATCAATAGTTGTCGAGACTTTTCACTAAAAACAAAAGTGTAAATTTGATGTTTATGCCAGAGGAAAATGTCAGGGGATCAACAGAGTCAGTAGGATTCATAGTTCGGGAACCATGAAGGTCCAATACATCCCACAGCTGCTGGGATATTTCAGTGTGGACCAACAGAGCGACATTGCCATCCACTGAGCTGTGCTGCTGGCGTGCCTAAAAAGAGCAAAGCAAGGCAGGGATAGAAAGTGTGGAGCTGTAAAGTACATCTCCACACACACACATGCAGCATGAGCCGTTGTTGGAAAGACTTTGCTGTCTCTGTTTTGACCAAGCTCGGATATGGGTATACCCACAAACAAGCTAAACTCGCCTGTGGCTGTTGTGTCCTTAAAACACACTCTCCCAGCAGTTTATTAATAATCCCACCAGCCCTTCATACACATTGGTGCAGAAAGTTGGTGCAGAGAGAAGAAGAGATGGCCTACAAAGAAAGAGGGGATTATAAAAGATTAGCTCTAGGACCGCCTCAACAGATTTAGGAGAACACTTAACTTAAAGGAGCGAGGAGAATTTGAAATGTTTTAAGTTTCTCTTTTACATTTGAAAAACATTAAAAAAATTGCTGCTGTAAAATTACAGCACATTGTCGTCACTGGATGTAACCTGCAGCACAATAAAGTAGAGGATCATACGCTTCCATCTCTAATATGAAGAATACAGTTATATCAGGCTACTTATAAATCACAGGGTAATACCAACAGGAAAGAAATGTTCAATTATATAAGCTTATATCATAGCTCACAACTGAAGAGTGTGACAGTGTGATGCACTATATCTGTTCACGTGGGAAGGTTTGCACTTACAAAATCCAGGCTTACAAAGAAGAGCACCTGGTGTTCGTCGCTAAGGTGAACAACCCCAATCACTGAAAGACATTCTGCACACTTAGGAAAGACGAGAAGAGCCTCTTCAGATACAAAAAAAAAAAAAAAAAAAAAAAAGAAGGATCAACTAATTTCCTGTTGACAAAGGTGACATTGACAAAAGTGTTAAAGTAAATTCTTTTCATGGGACCACCAGCTTCAGCTCGAGTGTTATTCTAAAGACTTAAACCGGGTAGAAAATACAGCGATGGCTAAGAAAGGAGAGAGGTGGTGAGAGGCAGAAGCTATTTTCCATGAATTCATCAAATGGCAGGTTAATGAGTCACATTTTGGATGTGAAATAAATGGATCATTTTTTATCTGAAGAGCATGTGTGTGCATGTGTACGTGTGTGTATGTGTGTGTGTGTGTGTGTGTGTGTGTGTGTGTGTGTGTGGGCCTTTTTCTCCACGAGATGTGTTATAAATGTCGACAGGTTCATTATTCCTAAAAACACATTGGTTGGATTATGAGAATTCACATCAGTCACAGATTCATTTGCATTTGAGAAGAGATAGGAGAAGAGCACAAATAATAAATTAGATAAAAGATGTGATTTATATCAAAATATGAATTGATTTCAGAAGGACACGGGAAAAGGGCAACGATGAACAGCATTTCTATAAAGATATGTACCACTGAGAATGATAAAAAACTTAAAGCTTGTTTTAATATTTGAAAACAAAGACATAATACAACCCTGCCTTAAAACCACATTATTTTTCTCACTTTAGCCCAGAGGATATCAGATTGTCACATCCATGATAAGGAAGTATATTCCTCCAGGCTGGGATACGTGTCCCGTCTCATTGCTGCTAGCTAAAATATGCTAGTTGCCTAAATATCTGTTCTCCATCAAGATTAATTAGCTGTCATTTCCGCAGAGGAGGAGATACAAGAACATGAATCGGAGCTGCCTAACAATGTCTGTGGTGCCCCACGGGATTTTCCTCCAGCTGCCATACTTATTTTAAGACAGAAGGGGGCAGAATTAGGTCATCAATATAATTAAATAATCTTGATGTGGAGCCTCCGATGGCTTTTTATCGGTATCCCTGAAGCGTGGTACCACCTGGCTCTGTGTGTGTGAACACTGTTTGCACACACACACATACACACCTGCGTATCCACATGTGTTGCACATGTTTGAGTGACAGAGGTGTGAGAGTGAGGTGAAAACGAGCTGGATGGGCTGCCAGAGAAGGGCGGCTGTTTCCATTCCCTGGTTCCCCATTTCTTTACATGGCTCACTGACCTGTGGCCACAGCGCTGGTCTTACCCACTGCTGCGTCTGTGGAGGATCACCAGATCTCATTTTAGATTGGCTGCCTTTAATGGGAGGCCAAGGAGCACACTCAACGTGTCGTTTATAAAGCAGTGGGGGCACAAAGGATTGGGGAAAAGAAGATGGAGTGAGTGGGAAAACCCATTTTATAGCAAGTGGGGCTTGATTCCTCTATCTATCTATCCCTCAATCACACCCACTGTGGTCAGTCAATACTACTTTGTCATCCCCGTGTCAGCATCCTGTCCACTGTTCCTCTGCATGTCTGCCATCTTCAAACTGAGTCACTTCAAGCCGTTCACTGTCTCAGATCAAGAGTCGGTTACAGGTGTTTCAACAGGTGATTATGTGGTTTTATTCTGAAAAACCGGATGATCAATTTTTTTTTTTTTTTTTACGTCTGTAGGAATTCATACAGGTGCAAGGGCAAAGAGGCTGAAGAGAGGACACATCCAACCTCCCACAATGCTGCACAGTGAGGAGGAAGCGGCGTCTCATTATGGAGAGCAGTGGAGGGCAGGCGTGCTCACACTCAGCCAAATGTAACCTAACTGACCATCTATGAAACTCTCTGCCATTCACCATCAAAAATGATGAATCAATCCACAGCCACACACACACACACACATCCTCTTCAGTGCCTCGTCTCAGCTGAAGGACTCTCACAGTTGCACTGACTCCCAGTCAGATCATCATCTAATGTGACATGTGCCTGGAGGATCCGTTTCACTGCAGAGTCAACAGGCTGTGTTGTTGTATCATCAACCTTTCCAGAGGATGCCTTGCGAATTTTTTTCCTGGGAGCCAGGTTGGACTTGCTGAAGCTTGGAAAAAGTGCTGGTACTGATCCGGTTGGTGGATCGTAGGACACTCTTCCCTTTGTGCGAGTCAAAGTCAGGAACTTCATCCAAGATGGCTCTGAGGGCCACGGGTCTTTCTGTGCAGAAGTTCATCCTGAATTTGGCTCAGGACAGAGAGCTCAACTTGAAATGTGATTATGAAGCATCTTTCTGCTTCGACGCTCATAAAGATTAAACTGCGGCACTTGTTTTGTTTAAGAGTGAAATTTTAATTTCATGCCTAAAAGAGCATAAAATCAGCAGAGGTGATGAAATTAGTTCTTTTTAATTTAAATGAATCCATGTTGTCTTTTGTCTTGTACTTATGTATTTATACTCCACCCTGATAAAAAAAACCTACAAAGATTTGAAAGATGTAAACTGAAATGTTCACTCACGCTTGTAAATACATATTATTTTACAAAAAACTGCAGTAATTAAGAATTTTTTTCAGAGCACCGAGGCCGGCACTTTGGTGCAGCCAGACCACACTGTGGTCTTTTGTCATTTCAGAAGTAAATTTCTGGAGAATGTGCCCAGCACTGACTTTGATTAAAATAAATGAGAAAATCCATTTGTGACGGCGCTCCTGCTTCTCCCCACCATCTGAGTCTGCATCCTAATGGATGGTGAGATACAACGGTGTGCTTTCTCTTGTGAATTATGCACGCTCCATTATTCTCTCTTGCTCATTTTTCTTTACCAACTATGCATTTTTGTTTTTCCGTGGCAGAAAAAGAGAACCAATTCAAAAACAAATGATTCAGACCTTCTCAGATGATAATGATTAATGTGGAGGGGATAATAAACTGCTTTCCCTCATTAATCAGTCACAGAAACAATAAAGCATAAACTCCTGCTCTACCTATTAGTCAAGCTTTTGTTTCATTTTGAATGGGAATAATCTGGAGACTTAATATGAAAGTATATTTTCTATCCAGTGATTTTTCAAATTGTCCTGACAAAAGGAAAGGCGCAGGACTGAAGATGTCAATCAAACACTTCATTTATTTCCCAGAAGAGAATCAATGTTTTAGGTTTTGATCGGATGAGCTGAACCTCAGCGATGGCTATTGTGACACAGTCTGGGGGGGCCTCTGCACTTCAATCTACGATCTTTGGATGGCTGCCTCATTTTCTCACAACCTGCTCCTGAGCTCCTCATTAATCTAGCAGTGCAAATTAAAACAAGGTTTAGATTACTCAGGATAATCTTTTTTTTTTTTTTTTTTTTTTTAATATTTATTGTGCAAAGGGACATAACACAGGGCTTGAAATACAGAGGTGAGGCATTTGGCTCAAGCACAAACCGATGTTATAATGTAACCTGACAGAGGGCAGCAAAGATCCACGTGCCTGAACAGTTCGACAACCGAACAAACAGTTCTTTACATTAGCTACAATATTTATATGCTCTTTTAGTTATGGGAAAATCTGGTCCACAGTACAGGTTCAGCACAGATCCATGATGTGAGGAATACTTCTCTGACAACAGGTGCCTGACAACATCTAATGTGAACAGACATTTACCTGCATCTACAGCCACATAATATAATGAAAATGGTCCTTAAAAGCATCTTATACATATATTCAAAAAATATTGCCATCTTCACAATGCCATTAAAAAAAGTAAACATTGCAAAAAAGGCATGTACTGTTAGCCATACTGATTGTTTATTGTCATTTACAAAGATACAAAAGCTATAACTGTTCACTCAGCTGTTTGTTAATCTTCGCTAAAATCTTTCCCAGGATGACGCTGCTGTGTTTGTGTATGTCAATTACTGGGTAAATCTTTTGATGCAGCTACACTTAGAAGATGAAAAGAAAAAAGCTGAAGCAGGGAGCATGCAAGAGTGTATGCATGTCATCACGTTTAAATATATATATTCTCATGTGAGTCACTGTCAGTTGTGGGCCAGAAAATAAATATGACACACGCTGAGGTGTTTCCTGGGTCTCAAGTGTTATATGATTCTGCCGGGTGAGTGATTATTGCCGTCAAGGAGGGAAAAGCAGCATCAGTCTCCTTGTCCTCCCACTCTGTCTCTGGGAATGATGCGAAGCTCTGAGCCGTGTTTTAGAAACACATTCCCTGCAACACAGGACAGAGCACCACATAAAGAGAACAGTTTATAATCTGTGTGCTTTAATAGGGGCGTTTTACAGCCACTACTGCTGCTACGCTGCAAAACAATATGTCATCTTACCAGCTGGGAGAGAAACTAGAAAACAATTCCTACTCTCAAGACAGTGATGAAAAATACTGAAAACCAATTGAGTTTGTTAATATAACTGAAGCTGATTATCTTAAACCCTAATATAAAGATTAAAGAATCTATCAGGTGTATTTTAGTGAGCACACACAGTAACTTCATTTGAATAATATACAATAACCCTAATGTAATTTAATTCATTAACTTGTTAATTCAAGCAGCAACCATGCTGAGATCATATATGCATGCATCACTCTCAGGGTCATCAGTGCGTAAATGCACCTCTATTATGCCTCCGGAAATTTACAATATTGGCCTTATGAAGTTGTGTGAGGAGAAAAAGGCTGTAAAATTACATCGGATCAGTTTCCACCATGAACTCAATCCTGTGAACATGAGGTAGACTGGTTGCAGCGGGTGAAAAAAAAAAAAAAGGCAATCTGACAGAGGTGTCTGAACCGAGGCTATTCTTGGCAGCACCGCACAGCATGGATGTTGCGCAGATAAAAAAAAAAAGAAAGAAAAGATGTTGTGAATGCCCACCACTCATTTCCTTTTCTTAACAGAAAAACACCCAATCTTGCCTTCGGTCGAAGCAGGCATTAGCTCATCCTGCTTTATGCAGAAAACCCAGTCATCTGTTACCTGTCTTTTGTTGAAAGTGATGACTTACATAAGGAGCGGTGGGCTACACTTTCAGTACGAACCTCGGGGGGGTTCGTACTGTGTTCGTAAGTGATTCCTTGCAGCTCAGCAATAATATGGGAATCTAAAAGGCAAGTGACTAAACAGCTTGCCGCATCTAGCTCGCCTCCAGTCAGAGGTCACTTTTTAATTTCACATTAAAAGCTGCTTCTCCAGGCGATGCATCTATATTCATGACTCAGTAAACGCCATCTCCATACAAACAACTGTGAGGTCTGCTCAGACACTCAGTTAAGTCGGGATTATCTTGCTAACTCAAGATTATTTTAATTATTTCATTTTTCAATTTATTCTATCAAGCAAGACTGTTATTGGGGGTTTGCCTCAGTTGTGCAGAAGCCATTTTTATTTCATTCCATTTCTCAGTTCTGATAACACTCAACACCAATACAGATGTGGCTCAGCGTTTGAGCATGTCCAGTGGTGATGTGACGTTTTGACATGAGTTTTAGCATTTCAACTTTATCAGATAATTTGGTTGGTTTTCATCGCTGCCCATCACAGCGATGTTTGTCTGAGCTGGTAATATCAGCAGTAACTGTTTGCATGTTTCTGGATTCATCATTCATTTCTCTCCTTTACTTTATGAATCAATGGCCCCTGCTTAACACCTCTGAGCTGTTTTTGTACATCCTCTGATACAAATTTAACTTGACTGTTCAAACCTGACTTAAATAAACCTGATCATCATCCCGGATTTGATTGTAGTTACCTCAAATAAGGCTTTTCATATTAAACCTTACATTTGTTTGTGATCTTCTGCAGAACCATCCACAGACGTCACTGCCTCTGAGGGCTTTGCCAAACTAATCTTATTCAGTTTTCTTCTGTGGAAACAGTAGCTTTAAAGATCTTCTAAGGCATGGACTCCAAACGAACACCACAACTCACCTGCTGTCTGGGCAGGGTTGATTCCTATTCCATCTGCACGCCAACAATGAAAGGAAAAAAAATAAACAAAAAACATCAACACAATGTAAAATGAGAAGACTGTCATGCAAATGAGCAGCACGGAAATGAAAAAAGACCATTTACAATATCAGCAGTTCATCCATAATGATGTTGCACTAGGCAACAACAAAAATGAGAGCGTGCCTCAGCAGCAGGCAATTCTATCTGGAATAATAACAGACCAGACATTAATTCAGCACTGATAAAACTAAAACTCATGTTTAGCGTGGCGGTCATATGTCAGCCATTTTAACACAAACCTCATCTCAGTGCAACACTCACAAGTGCAATATGTTCCCACAGCCGTGAGAAAATGTCATCTTTTTATGACTAACCTCCAGTACGTGACAAAATACATCAGGCATACTGCTTATGAACATCTCTCTCTCTCTCTGTAGCCTAACGCTGTCAGCACAGAGGTGGAGAGGTAAACAAAAACATCATCAGTTTTTTATTTTATTTTATTTTTTTACGTGGCACAGCACAGTTTAATTGTCAGGATTCACTGAATAAGCTGACAATTTTCCTTCTAACAGCCACAAAGACAATTTACTGTAATTTGTTCCAGTGATTACTACAACTGTGGTTACAAGTGTTCTGTGCCTGGACGAATCCTGCCGAGTATTTTTACATTTTACAGCCTCGGGTTATTTTAGACGTGATTCTGTTGGGTATTTGATAGAAACTGTTCCCTGATAGGCTGTTATTTTGACAGCCATGGTTCTAAATGCTTGAATTTAGTTTAACACTTCATATTGTCAGTGAAATAATCAAGTCAAATAATCATCTTACTAGTAGCAGTATATTGAGTCTGATATGTGATATATTTCTGAATATATAGCATCTTTAATTGCTGTTTTATCAGGGCTCTAATTTGCTCTAATTTTTACTTGTTTCTAATGTGCAAACAAAATGTTGTGCCAATTACTGGTCAATGTGTGTTAGCGGGGGTTTGGGGGCTGAGATAAGTGCCATCAGCATTCTTGCAATTCCAGCTGGTAGCTGATACAGATCAATAAAGGTCAAGCAGAATTAATAGCAGACATGGAGGCTGCCATTAATTAAAGCTGCTGTGTGTAATGCCCAAACAGTACTACTCATACTCTGTGGTTTGATGCTGGAAATTAATACAAGAAACACAAACGGCAATTTTCTCTCAAAATTTCAGGAACTAGAAATACATCAATAAACTTGCCATGGGTTCCACATGCTTCTTGTGTCATGTTAGTGTAGTAAATTATTTTTCTCTTGGTTCAATATTTCTTACAAATCAACTAAATTCTTTTTATTAGGATTTCGAGGCTACTATATGCAGTATTTCAGACATTCTGTTAAATAAATCATTTTGACGTTTAAGTGAAAATTCGCAGTTTGTTGATCATTATGATGTATCATTATCTGAACAGACAGAATTTATTTCATCATCCATACTTCCAGCATCACACTGTAGTTCAGAAATTGCCTTAAGCACTCCCTGATTTTTTTTTAGAGCCCCATCAAATCCTTCAAGTTTGGTGTTGAGGTTTTGAAATCTGTGTTTTTCTCAAAACACATGACTTCTACGGGAATGAGGGTCTCTCTCTAACACCATTATTAATAACTGTCAAGCTGGTAAACATGTCAATTTTGCACTTGCTAACACACACACACACACACCTCGACTCACCATTTGTTATTATTGCGCTGGTTGCTGACGGCACTTTGAACTGTAAAAGAAAATGAAGCAGAGAACAATGATTACACATCCCCTATATCGTGAATACCACAATTTCAAATTTGCTCTCTTTGATAAGGGGGCATCAGTCCTCAGGGAGGACAATGTTATTGATTTTCTTTATTGATTAATGTGATCAATCTTATATCAGAAGCCCTGACTTCTCGATTCAATGGATCTCCAATCTTGAAAAGAACACAATAGGACAATGACAGTGTAAATAAAGAAATGTAATAAGTAGACTACTATCTACACAGTAAATGCAATGTCTAATAACCATCAAGATGAATATAATAATGAAATGAACTGATGAGTTGGCAATGGTGGAAGAGAATATGTTACGGCTATGTACAATACGGCTGTACAACTAATGCTCACTAGGTCTACGAATGAGATCTGAAGATTGAATATTGTTATATTTCGACATGAACGCCATAACGAGCAGAAAGTGAAGACCGGCCTACTGGAGTTGCGCTGTAGCTTGAGACCCTTGGCTGGAACCCAGGTGGCTGAGATGGTTGGTAATTGTCGACGACATGTTCGGGATGGAAGTGTGCTGTTGTGCGCATTACCACGGTAACGGGTTCTGCCAGTGTCCCACAGCAGCTTCAGCTTTGATGATTTCGGCCAACAGACTTTCTGTCTCGGGGAACTCTTGATGTCTTCGTAGGCTTCTCTGCAGGCGGTCGTGGGCAGGTCGTGTTATCTGCTGGCATCTCTTGCGGGTTGATGTGAAATAAAAGTCTAATGCACTTAACTGTCGCTGGATAACTACAGAGGAGACTGCGTTGGCCAGATTACTCTAAACTGTCAAAAATCTTCAGAGAGGAAAACGTGATAATAATTAAAAGTTACAAAAACTTACTCTGAGGCACTTCTGCTGTTTTGGTTCAGTTGGTTTTGACTTGGCTTATAAAAATAAAAGATTGTACGTGTAGACAAAAAGAATGTTACTTGGAGAACGTGGCAAAGAAAGAACAAAGGACACGGACAAAACGACAAAGTGCAAAATGGCAAAAAGCAATCGCTAAAAGCTGACAGCTAAGAGCTGTTGCTAAGAGCCATGTGTGAAATGATCACAACTGCTTTATCCCCTGGGGGCTGGCGCATGTTTCTGGGGCGTTACCCATCTTCTCCTTTGTTTCAACTTTAGAGAAGAGAGTAATTTTCCATCGAACTATCATAATTCATCCATCGAATTGTATAATCTAGAGTTTTCCTCTAAAAATTTGCACATTCCTCTTCCACCATGACCATAAAACATTACATGAAGCAGCCATTGACCTATTACATAGAGGCATCACATAAATTACAGAATAGTTAGATATTTAATTTAGTATTTTTCTCAGATCTGTGTCTGTGAAGAGTGTTCTGCTCGTCACTACACGTCACAGGGACGTGGGTTGTAGTTTATGACTGTTATCTAAAGAGGGACAGAAGGTTTGTGCGTTTCTATTCATCCGTGACACAGAGCGTCCCGGATTCACACCTTAGGAATAATCAGTGCTTTTGGTTTTCTTTTTCCTATATAAGAAACAATCAAATATCAATACAGAGACAGTCTTATGTTACAAAATGGAGATTTAAATTGTTTGCTCCAATTTGCCAGGTTGTCCATTTGTTGATCCTCTGGAGCTGACCCTTTGACCCGTGGTCTGGTTGTGCATGTCTCTGACATGCTAAAAGCCTGTGTGTTTATGAGAGAAGGGTTCTTTGTCTCTGTTTCCTGTCAATTTGATAGTTTGATGGTGGTATGTCCCTACACCCCATTAGTGAAATCCACAACAGAAGCTAGTATTTGACATTTCTGGGATTTGAGCAGCACTAAAGTATTTTGGTTAAATAATCAGTGACATGTTGCTATTCAATTTCAAACTGGCCTGAAGACACTGTGAATAAATCATCAAAACAGAGAGCTTCATCCACTGAGTCAGCACAATGAGACTCACTGGCTTTGTTGGGTGACAACTTCATAATAATAGGAGCTGCAGTTACAATGTCTTCAGAAACAAACTTTGTGAAACAAGCAAAAAAGAAAATGCTGTGGAGTGCGTTTCGTTTTCAGCCTTTGTCAGCCAATTTACACACTTGTCAGACGCACGTGTGTTCGCGTTTCCACACAAATTCTAGTCCACATGAAACCGCACACACACATACACAAAAACAGTTGGGAAAGAGCCTGAGGGAACGATAGCCACGCTTGAATTTCTGGAAGAAAATCACTCAGCACGGTCACAATACATGTCCTACTTCAGTGTTCGACAGAGGAGGGATGTGGGCTGGTGGGATTTGTGGTGAAAGGACGGTGGAATCAGTCTGTCACCAGGGAGATAGGGTTAGCAAAGTGCTGCTCAACAAACCACTGCCAGGTAGCACAAGCAGCAAACATGACATGCAGTTTAGATCTAGAATGAATGGGTGTTGTTGGAGCTTTGTTTGATGTAGCGTAAAATTGGTGGAAAAAAGGATACAGTAGAAAAGAAAATCACCTCTTAATGATCACTGAATAAAATAATTGACATTTTTAGCTAGTCTTTCAGAATATAAGGTTTCTGTAATTTGTTAATGTATGAGGTGTCTCTGTCTATTTGTTCAACACATCAGCCACTGTTTTAATGGTCAATACGGGATTAAAATAAACTCCTGCTAATTAAAAGTCAACTTGGCACTGGCTAATCACACTATATTTTACCAACCACTTTGGGAGGCGAGCTTTTGCCAAGTAAAAAACAGTCTCCTTTTAAACACTTTGCTCTTTTACTGGTTAAAATGATAAATATTATCCAAGTGAAAAGACTCTCTCTGTTTGCTTGATGGCGCCTCCAAGGTTAGACCATGCAAAGCCAGACAATGAATGTGAATATTAAGTCCAATCAGGATGCTGGTTTATAACAGAAGCACAACAACACCCCGTCTGCACATTGTAAAAGCCGCACATCATCAGCAGGAGCCGCACAGTCTTTCTGTCAGGGTGCGTTCAGCATCAGTGCTGCTGTATGTTTATGTGCATAATATGGAAGAAAATAGACCTGCAGCCTAAAAGGAGGCTTTATGTCATGGTTTTGTGTGTGTGACACATGGGGCATTATGCAGCCTGTGCAGACAGCTGTATTGATTTGAAATACAAGCCAATCGAGAAAAATGACTGAAAACCGCAGCTGAAATGCTTCCTGTGTCTGTAACACCTACAGCTCTGAGACTTCAGTTCAGTTTACCAAAGGTCATGAATAATTGCAGATACCAAATTAGCAAGCTGTTATGGTCATATAGAGATTAAAGCCTGACTGATAGTAGTTCCAAAATCATTATTTGAGAGTTAAAAATAATAATAATAATAATAATAATAATAATAATAATACTAATAATAATAATAAAAGCCAGAGATGATGATTTATTTGCTGATATACATAAACATGTAAATGCCAAACGTTCTTGATATGGATCCCTTAATGTGTATAAGTATGCATCTTATAGTATTTCTATGATAGTACATAAAGCAAGACACCCTGAAAGTCTTTAGAGAACAACCAAAAACTGTAAACTCACCTCCTCAGCCGCAAACTTCAAAACTGCTGTGAACGGCGTGCTCTCTGGGACGCTTAGTCTGTAGCAAAACAATGCATTAAAACAGGATTTAATTCAAAAC